AACTCAAGGCAAAACTAAGAAACAACAGAACTGATTAAATTCAACTTGCAGAGAATAGAGGAATTGTAAGAAACATTATTTTATTTATTTATTTATTTATTTACTTCATTTGTTGACCGCCGCTCTCAGCCCTGGGGCGACTTGCGGCGGTGTACAACATGTAAAAACAGTCTACAAAAACATACAATATAACAACAACCGAATTACACATTAATCTAAATCACACTAATAGATCCGCGCCATCACAACATAGAATCATAGCCAATCTCATAATCCATAGTCCGTTCCAAATGTCATTACCAGATTCGTGTGGGTCTCAATTAAATTATGTGTTTCAAGAAGCATCACTGTTTGGTGGACGTTCCATAAAGTAAGATGTTTGTGTAAAATAGAGAGTTTTCTTACTGACAGTATCAAAATTGCAGAATTTTGTTCACAGTGTCCTTGATTATTTCAGTGTGTCTTTTGTGTGAGTCATGTGGTTTTGCCTCCTCATTTTTTGGTTTCACCCCTTGGTTGTGGTTTCTGAAGATTTGTGGTTGGAATCAAATGGTGAACACTTAAAAGTGGTTAATAAAAGAAGATGTTATAGTCCAAGTCTTCCACTAAAATAAACAAGAGCTGTTGCGTAAAAATATAGAATATTCCTGTACGTATCTACTCAGATGTGCCTCTCTGATTTCAAACTGATCTTATTCCTAGTTAAGGAGAATAGATCTATATCCTTCGTAACCAAAAGGACATCATTAGTATTCTGATTTTTCATGTCCATAATTACAATCATTCATTTTTAATGCATCTTCACAGAGCTATGAATAAAGCTCAGGTTAAAGGCCAGCTTTGTACTATGGATGGAAACTTCCAGTTAGCTGAAGGTCTATTCCAGTCTTTCTTTTGATGTCCAGAAAATCTAGCAGTTTATGAGTAGTAGAAGAAAATGTAATGCATTTTGCATCAAAATTACCATTTAATGTATTTCTTTCTGAGATGCTGAATTATCTCCTCATCTTAAAGGGAATGGCATGGGGGGAAGTTGCTTGTCGTCTTAGTAACCGGTCAGAGCTTACAGTAAAGATATGGAATGAGAATGCTTTATAGTTCGGGGCTTCTTTAGAATAGTTGTATTTTGCCTTTTTTAATCCTTCTAGGCTCACTGGGACTTGTAAACTGAAAAGATTTACTGCTGCCCTCTCCAGGGGTGGCCATAGAATTAAGAGTTCAAATTTCTTAAATTCCTGAATTCCCCAAGAGGGAAAGGAATAAGGGGAAGTGGCAGTCTTTATCTCTGTGGAACAAAATATAAGATTATTGGCCAGTGTAGTATGTGACTGCAGATATGTCTTCTCTACATAATGACTTCAGGAGTGCTGGGATAAGAATTTGACTTGCCTGTGCCCTTCTTATATTGTTCTTTGATTCGATGCCAAATGTGCATAAACATACACAGGTACATGCATAGACATGTAAATTGCTCCCTTAGTTCAAAAGTAGTTGCATGCACAGTGAAGGTCAGTGGATTAAACTAGACAGCAACATTCATGTCTCACAAACCCATTTTCTGAAAAGTTGCTTAAAATATCACACCTGGAACAGCCGAGGGGTTGCTAGCATGAAATAAGGTACCATTACAATGTTTTGTTCATCACTTAAAAACATAAAAATTGTTCTGTTGGTTTGGCCTTTTCCATGTCTTCCCAAATATTCCTCACCACTGGTTCACTATTTATTTATTTTTTGAAATTCCTTTCCAGTTTTCCTCACATGCAGTTTAAATGTATTTCTGAAATGTTGATTTAAATCATGTTTGTCATTTTATCATATACATTTCCTGAGGAAGAGTAAATAATTTCTGTTTAATGGATCTCGCCTTGCAGCACAACTGAAGTTTTTATTATGTTGTCAGGAGAACAATCTAAATCCTCTGGTTATGCAGTGCAGACCTTTTGCGCTAAACAAAAAGCTTAGAGGCTAAGGCAGTAGGTGGTAAGATTATGAAATTAAAATCGTCGAGGTACAAGATTATTTTAAGGCAAAGGGCCCAGTCTTACCTTTCCAGGAGCACTGTGAAGCAATTTTCCCATCACATTAGAAAATGAATGTTCATGCTGCTTATTTGATAATTGTAAATATTCAAGTTCTGAACATTTAATTACATTAGACACAGTGCATAACCTTGTGTATTACGCTTGATCTTAGAAGGGAAATATTTTCCTTCCTTTGTGATTTTTGTGTGGAAAGGAGGGCTCAATTCAGAAGATTTAATAGAGAGTCTTGGAATCAATCTTGTGTGTAGATTTTTATATTAGAATTAAATGCCAGTATATTTTTAAACCTTATAAACAGTGTATCAGAAACTTCCATTTTTCTATCAATGGATAGGTGCTCAAGGGCAAGTGGGTACAGTATCAATATAAATCCATGGACCTACAAAATGAGAAGAAAGGTTAATTTAGGCATTGCAACAATGTTGTTAGCTTGGGGATTTAAAAGAGGAAAGACAAAATTGCTTTTTTTATTGAAACAAAACTGGATTTATTGAGTAAATTTCACACATACACATGTGTTAGAAAAACTGTAAGAATTAAAATGTCATGTCTATTTTTTGGTATCTATGTGAGTAATAAATGTCTAATGCTATGAGAACCAGTGTGATGAAATGGCTTGAGATCTTGGTTTGAATCCCTACTCAGCCATGACCTTGACCAAGTCATACCTTCGCAGCCTCCGAGGAAGTCCATGGCAAATAATTTTCTCCACAAATCTTGCCAAGAAAATCCTATGGTAGATTCATTTTAGGATTACCAGATATTGGAAGCAATTTAAAGCTATCTACCAACAATAATAACAAATATATACAATTCCTCCATTTCATCTCGGTGCTTTAGTATGTACCTATTTATTTTCTTGATCAGTTTAAGCAAATAAACAAAATGTGAAAATGGATGACATCAAGGTTCATTTGCTTTAGCAGTCCTGGGGAGAATCTGATCCACAGGCTGCATTGATTTCCCAGGACCTCCATCTACCTTAAAATGTGGGTTTTCCACTCAAGGTGTCCCATGTACCCTCTGGACCAACATAAGCAATTTTATTATGTTTAAAAAAGGCCCCTTTAACAACCAGAGTTAGTTTTAATAGTTTTTAAAGGTAAGAAGAAGCAATAGGTAGTGCACTTCACCAAGGTACAATGAAGAGGCATGTAGATTTATTGGACATCAGGTTGCAGCAGGCCCCTCAGTAGCATAAATTGTCTTCATAAATTGCTTAAATATATTCTTAAAGTAATATTTTCATGATGACTAGGAATGGGCAACCATATTTTTTTCTGAAAAGTGCCAGGGATCTTTGATGGGCTTGGGCCGGGCTTTAGCACAGCTGGTTAACTACCAGCTGCAGTAAATCTTGCCAACTGAAAGGTTGACAGTTCGAAGACCAAGTCAGAGTGAGCTCCTGGCCTTTAGCTCAGCTTCTGCCTACCTAGCAGTTTTGAAAACAGCAATGTGAGAAGATAAATAGGTACCGCTTAAGCGGGGAGGTATTAAAGGCACTCATAAGGAAATGCCAGTGATTTGATCAAGGAGGAAGTTAATGCACATGATTCGATCAAGGTGGAAGTTTACGAACAAAAGTTCTTTGACAAGGAAAGTGGAGCGACAGAACTCCCCCCTCCCCCCATTGCAGGAACTGAGTACAGACTCCAAGATGCAGAAGATGGGAAAGCCAATATATACCACCATGTATGTACAGTTGTTTGTCTTGTCCGTGTATAACATCATTGAATGTTTGCCATATACGTGTTTTGTGATCTGCTCTGAGTCCCCTTCGATGTGAGAAGGGCAGAATATAAATAAATAAATAAATAAATAAATAGGGCAGAAGACAAGTTGTTTGTGGACTCTCTGTTCTACCCGTGCCAAACTTTGACAAGAACTTTGGAGGCATGGACAGATTGAGTGATGCCCAAACTGGCCTGTAAGTCCTTGGCTTGAAGGGAAGAAAAAGACTTCCTCTCTTCAGCTGAAAAAAATCCATGCTGAAATTATGGATAAAGTCATTGGCAAAGCTTTACTTCCCTCACTTTTCTTGTCCCACCTGTAGGAAAGAGAGTGGGAAGAAGAACAGATAGAGCTTGATTAGAAAACAAAAGATGTGCATAAGTGTCTGTGAATTCCCTTCATCAAGCTGTTTAAAGTATTTAGGTATCTGTGAGCATATATATGCATGCAAGAGTCAGCCTGGTGTAGTGGTTTTGGCGTTGGACTATGTCTCTGGAAACGGAGGGTCACATTACCACTTGGTTGTGGAAACCCACTTGGGAACCTTGGGAAAGTCACACTCTCTCACAGTGAGAGGACGGCAAAAGTAATGAAGTCTCTCTGAATGCATCTAGCCAAGAAAAGCTTGTAATAGGTTTGCCATAAATTAGAAATGACTTGAAAACACATGACCAATGTATATGTACTTGCTGAGAGACTTGAAGTATTCACTCATCCTTCTGTTCCTTTCTCACTACTTGCAGATGTTCATGGGGCCCCACCTCGGCATACTAAATAAAACCAATTGAGTAGAAGTAAAGTCTATACAGATTCAGAATAAATTAAAGGCAATGCTGGGGGAAAGCAAACAAAAGCCTTGAAAATTAAGGTGCATTTTTTAAAAAAGATGCATTGCATTAAGGTTATGTTATATGTAAACAATTACATGTATTTAGAGAAAACCAGATTTCAAATGTGAAGCATATCTATCTTAAATGTATACCATTTGGATTCTGTGGCAGGCCCTCTGGATGCAATATCCTATACTTTCCCACAAAACATAAACATCTGTTTAATTTAATTCTGGAAGCATATGTGTGTTTAATGAAACTAGCGTGGCTTTAAGTCTCCAATATCATAATCTTTTAATCTTTAATCTTTTGTTTATTACCTGTTCTGTATATGGCTGTTTTCCCCCTTGTAAATGCTTGTTTCTAAGAAGTCCTTTTTAAAACTTTTTTTCAGAGGATATTCAACTCCTTTGTGTACACAGAAAAAATTTCAAATGGTGAAAGTGAAGTTCAACAGGTAAGGAAACATTTTTCTGATTCTTTATATGATTTTAGTAATATAGCAATAATATACCATATACTTTTTACTTTTGAATGCATGGTTTCTATGTCATGGTTTTTTGTCTTCACTTTTCCTTGTTTCATTCCTGTAATGTTCTCATGCTATAGGAGCTGGGATTTAATATCTTACCTTGTGTCATGAGCAGGTGTCACCAGAGCTCACTACTTCAGGAATACTATTTTTTTAAAGGTGTCTTTACTTGAATGAGAGGCTTTTGATCAGCTGTCTTCATACTTTTTCTTCCCCTTGCTTTTTAGATGGCTACTTTCATAGTAGGCCCTGGTTCTCTAGTAAAGCTTCTCTCAGTCAAGAGTCCAGCATTCAAATCTCCTGAAGTGTAAATAAGACAAAACAAAACAAAGGCAGTTCATCTGGAAGCACTTTCCCTTGTCCTCTGCCTGGGAGGGAAAGTAGATCAAAGAATGATGGAGTGAGCAGGGCCATGTGAGCCCTCATAGAAGGGCCATTTGGAAGCAAAAAGTCTGTAGGGGAAACAAAAAGACGCAACTGTGCCAATTATCCCCAATGTTAATGATAAACACAAGAGGCGGGTTATGTGGCCTTCTGTATTGTACCAATTAAGATGGGCATGATGGCCTTCTATACTGCACCGATTAAGGTGGCAATTTGGGCTCTGCTTTGTGAAGCACTCATGGAAGGAGTGCAGACTTTTTCTCTGTGTGGCGCAGTACATTAAGGCTTATTGTTTGTTGTCATTGTGTACCTTCAAGTTGTTTCTGACCAATGGCTAGGTTACGCTCGTACAGTAATGTTATGCCTCTGGCTCATCTGGCCAGGTTTGACCATGCCAGTATCTGTGAGCTCCATGTTACTGGAAGACTGACCAATCCCCATCAGCTGTATGTTACCATAGTGAAGGTAATTGCAGACTTTAATGTGATTTTAAAAATTGTCATTATTACTGATCTTCTCATAGAAGAAACATCCTAGGTTGCTTATAATCTCAGAGTCCCTCAGAGTGTCATTTAGAAATTGACCAAAGCTTGTGGAATGAAAAAAGAAGATCCTATGCCTTTCCTCTCCTCCAAAAGAGATTTGTCTTATACCTCATATTAAGGACTCTCTTTTATTTATTTTTCTATCTAAAGCAGTTAGTATTTAACTGGGCGCATGAATTGTATTGTTAATTATTAATTTAGTACATTTTCCTCCCACCCTTCTTCCAAGAAGTTCAAATTCTCATTGCTCCCACCCTTATCTTCACAGTTGTCTTACACAGAAGAAGAAAAACTATGTGAAATAGAGATGTAGGTTCTTTCATGCTATGACCAATAAATATAATTATTTTCTCACTACCACGGGGGGGGGGGGATGTCCCTTCACAGTACTCTCACCACATTTGAATATTCCAAAATATTGTGGAAAACCTTTTTTAAGAGAAAAAACATACAGCGCATAAAAATCCAGGTTTTTGTACAGAAAACCATGATGGAAACCTATTTTCTTACAAAAAAGTTCTCCTGTTTAAAAAACCCACTTGGTTTTCCCTTCAGCATAAGTCATTTGCAATACTTTGCACTGTCAAAAACCTTTTAAAAACCTGCACATAATTTTTGCTTGTCTATTATAATTCCTGATAGGTTTCCAGAGTGTTATGTTTGGCAAGATAAGGAGCCACAATACCAACTGGATGCAGTAGAAAACCTGTAATCACCATACACCCTAATGCAAGCATAGGCCCTAGTGACATGCTTAGGAATTCTTTGTAAATTGGGTAGGATCAAGGATGCTGCTCTGAGATCCTTGTAGAGATGATAGGCTTTATCACAAAGTTGATAAGGAGAGAAGAATTCTAAATTGACAATCTTGAATGTGTGTAATTCCTGTGACTATTGCCAGACTAACATTAACAGCTAAGGCACTTTTACAAAACTGGATCAATTGTATAGACCAAAAAGAAGAGAGAGTTGGCATGGCGATGGATATTGCATAAAATTGGAACTACATTTTCATTGCTTGGTTGTCGGAAACAGCTATGACTAATTACAGCTTTTTGTCATATCAGAATAGTGGGTGATAAGTGGAAGGAGTTAATAATGCCACCAGCAATGGTAACAGGTCATATGAACTGGTTATAACTCTGTGTTGACAAATTCTCTTTAATCAACCAGTTTATCACCATGGCTTCCATTGCTGGGTAAGTGGCAGTGAGCTCTGATAACTCGAAAACAGACAACATGATAATTGATAATAATATATTGTCAGTGTCACATTATTTATTTCATCCTTTAAGGAGTGCACTGTGCTTAGCTAAGTACTGCAGAGTACATTTTCATTAGATACTCTTAGATTAAAGTTAGCCTTGTTCAATAGTTCCTTGTGTTTGGTTTCCATTGTTTATGAGGATAGCATTTCATCGTGACGATTAGTTTATGTAACATAATTTGAAGTGAACTGATAGTTTGTGAGCGATAGTCCCAAAAGAGCTTTGAGAAGAGTTTAAAAAGCTAACATTGGGATATTTGACATAATAATAAAAATAATCAAACTTTATTTATATTCTTTCTTATCTCCTCGAGGGACTCAGGGCGGATTCTAACAAACAAAAAGACAAACATTCAATGCCTCAGTAACAATAACTGCAAATGTAATAACCCATAATAACCCCATATAAAAGGACAGCTTAAACATGACATCTGTAACTTAAATAAAAACATAATCTATCGAAAATTGTAACTAACATAAAATGTAAACATAAAACATCCTAATTAATTTACAAAAGCCAAAGATGTGTGTGTTAATTGTGTGGCCAATGATGTTAAATGATCAAACAAGGCCCAAATACATTAATAATTTCCAATCAGAAGTCTGGTAATAGTCTTTCTTCATCTAATCCTCTTCCTCTCCATATGCTAGTGAACAAAAATAGGTTGTCAGCTGTTTGTTGAAGGAGAGAAGCTTCCACCATCTGTACTTGAGATGGGGGTGGGACTGAGAGCAGGGCCTCCTCCAATGACTGCAATCATCATCATCATCATCATCATCATCATCATCTTTATTTGTACCCTGCCACCATCTCCCCAACAGGGACTTGGTGCGGTTTATATGAGGCCAAGCCCAAACACAAATTACAGCAGCATAAAACCGAAAACGCAGACAGCAAACAATAACATCATAATTACATAAAACATGAAAACATAACGGTATAAAATTACAATAAACACAATCACAGGGACAATGGGCGGGCTACATGTAAAATGTAAAAGAAAAATGCCCAAGTTGGTTTGTAGGAGGTTATGTGGTTAGTCAAACATCAGTAGTTATCATACCCACCCCCCACATGGTAGCAATTTATATTATTACAAGACACCACCTTCTGTGTTTGGTCTTCTAACAAGTAAAGTTTTCTTCCACCCACTTATTTAACTGATCTCAGGGGAAAAGGTGATTGTTGTATTTTTTTTATTAATATCTTTATTAGCTTTTTCTTAAAATATACAGATAGTGTTGACAGGGAAAGAAAAACAAAGAAAGAAAAAAGAGGTGATAGAGCGTGTGGGGAAAGAAAAGAAAAAAAGAAATTGGGGGGTAGGGGAGTGAAGCAGGGTCCGAGAGAGAGGGTCGAAAGGCCAAAGATAGCAAGAAAGAGAAAGAAAGGAAGGAAAAGAGAGTGAAAAAAAAAGAATAAAGAAATAAAATCTTGACCTCCTGGTGTCTTCTTGGAATCTTCTGTTCAGTATTGTCCATAAATTTTCTTGGTTGCTTCAAATTCTTCTTTTTCTCTCCCTGATTGTTTTTGAGTTACAGTCTATATTTCTTTTTCAGATCTATGTTCCTTTTTTCTTTTTTCTTAAGTATTCCAGGACTTCTCGCCAGTTTGTTTCCTTTCTCTCAGTTTCTTTGTTCTTCAGTATTAGAAAGGTCAGCCTGTCTAGATTGCTGATTTCTAGTATTTTTGTAATCCAGTCCTCTTCTTTCGGCATTTCTTCTTGTCTCCATTTTTTTGCGAAGCAGATCCTCGCAGCTGTCAGTGCTAGGAATAGGATTTTATCCTTATCTTTTTCCAAATTCTTATCGTACATTCCTAATAGGAAAATCTCAGGTTTCATTGGTATTTTTAATTTTAGCATATTTTGAATTTCATTTTGTATTTTTTTCCAATATTCCCTCGCTTTCTCACAGCTCCACCACATGTGGAAGAAGGAACCTTCCTTCTTTCTACATTTCCAACACGTGGTGCTTGTGTTGTTGTATACTTTTCCTAGTTTTTTTGGGGTTAAGTACCACCTTAGGGACATTTTTACCCAATTCTCTCTTAGCTCTATGGCGTATGTATATTTTAGTCTCTTTTTCCAAATTTCCTCCCATTCCGCTTGCCTAATGTTCCTTCTTAAATTTTCATTCCATCTTTTCATATAGTGTTTTTCTGTTTTTGTCTCTAAATGCCATTCTAAGAGTTTTTTGTATATCTTTGTTATCAATTTCTTCTCTGAGACCATAATTCTGTCCCAAAAATCGTTTCCCTGGGCAAATCCTAGTTTTATATCTAATTTATACTTTTCTTTAATCTGCCAATACTGTAGCCATGTTATTTTCCTATCTATTGTGTTAAGTTCATGTTGATCTTTCAAGACTAAGGTTCCTAAGTGATTTTTCAGGATCTCCTTGTATACCGGCCAATCATTCCAGCCCAAGCACCTCCTCTGGCCTGCTTCCAAAGGCGACACCCATAGTGGCGTTTTCTTATACATTTTCATTTTATATTTCTCCCATACTTTTAGAATTGAAGATCTTGTAAAATGATTTCCGAATTTTTTTTCTTTTTCTTTCCCTTTATACCACATATATAGGTGCCATCCTCCCCTGAGGTCTATACCTTCTACTGTCAATAGTTTCCTCTTTTTTAACATTGCCCAGTCCCTGGCCCATATTAGAGCACATGACTCATAATATAATTTTAAATCGGGTGTTGCCAATCCTCCTTTTTCTTTTTG